AAGCCCCAACGAAGGCAAGGACCACGCCACAGGCAACAACAATCAAAGAAACGAGAGAACTGGGCTGAACCTGCCATTCCAGTAGAAGGGGGGGATGACGGGGCAATCTGCAATCTAATTTGTAATATGTAACCTAGCAACGGGGCCCGCGGGGGGATTGAGACAACTATAAAGGAATAATGTAAATGTCCCAAGCCAGTCCTGGCTTTTCTTGTGACTGCTACGTTACGCATGAGTAAACCTCTTTTGTGAACCACACGTGTCACGGGAGTTTCTCTGCCGAACGGGGCAAACCTTACATCACCAGCTTACTCTTGATTTTTTCTAGTTATGTGAGCCCTTTTCCAGAGTAGGTCCCAGATTACAACTTCCTCCATTGTTGTTATTTATGAATGCCTGTAGACTCTATAGGAGGGTCCAAGGCAAGTGTTTTGCTTTGTAGCATGATGCCAGCTTTCATTTATTGCTTTTCAATTAAAATAATGAAAAAAAAATCAAGTCCGGTTAGGTGAGAGACATATCCCGGAAAGTGCCTAGAAAGCATCCATGGGCACCATGTTGCTTCTGCCTTCTTAAAGGGCTTACTATGATTGAAAATAACTCAACTCTGGACTTTGAAGAAGAAGTTGGGCATAAAGTTTGATGGAACTGCTGAAGCAACCTAAGGTTTCCTAGTCATTGTTATATGGTTACTAAAGGGGCAATTTGAGCCAGATAGCACATAGTCAAAATAAATGGGTAATGGGAAGATTTTAATGATTTTTAAAACCACAAAGTCTGTACTTTGAATTTTTGCCTTTCCAGCTAGAAATGTAATATCTGGCCTCATTACAGGTAGTCCACACTTACTGACTGCAATTGGGACCGGCAACTCTGTCAGTAAGTGATGCATTTGTAAAGTGAAATGTCACATGACCACGCTGACTTACAATGTCAGTTCCAGCTGCAGTCATGAAGCGAATAACTGCGGGTCATTAAGGGTGACATCACATGACTGTGACTTATGACTTCCTACTGGCTTCCCCATTGACTTTGCCTGTTGGAAGCTGGCTATGAAGGTTGCAAATGGCAATCACATGGCTGTGGGAAGCTGTGACCATTGTAAATGCATGCCGGTTCCAGGTGCCCAAACTGCAATCACGTGACCACAGGGATGCTGCGATTGCCGCAACTTCAAGGACTGGTCATAAGTCTCCTTTTTCAGCACCGTCATAACTTCGAACAGTTGCTGAACGAACGATCAGTAAGCGAGGACTATCTATATACATTTGTTGATATCTTCCAATTGTTACGGACATAGAGCAGATATAAAAGAGCGTTGGTAACTGTGGTTCAAACTCAGCTAATGTAATCTGTAAAGATTTCAGCTGGTTTGTAAATATTTCTTCCTTAAATTATGTCAAGATGGCAAACATACTTTTTTTTCTTTATTATACCAAGCTGAAAATGGTTTCCTATTAATTAATCCAGTTCTTTTGAACCCATGAGCACATTTGGAATTTTAAGAATATGTTATTGCCAATTTCCCACAACAGTTGCCATTGTAAGTATGGCAAGGAACAAAACACCATGCTAGGTATCCTGTGCTTCCAACTTCCCTGTGTCTTTTTTCACCCCATCCAATTCTAAATAAAGAATTTGGTAGGCATTCTATGGGGTGGACAGATCTTGTTTTGCTTCTCCAACATTTTCTTTTAGTTTTTTAGTTAGGACACTTTTGAAGCGTACTTGATCATGATTCATATTACCACCATAAATTGATACATAAACAAATGTTGGCAAACATATTAAAATATTTTCTTACCTAATTTTGCTGAAACAGGAATTCGATTCTTGTGCAGTATTAGGCGATTTTTATATGCTTTCTCAAAGGGCAAGTCACATTTTATTTGGCGCCTGAAATTTTCTCTTAGAATTGAACGAATCACTTTCACTATATTGGTCTTGCTTTCGCAGTCACTGTAGTGGGGGGGAAACAGTGATTAAGTCAATGCAAAACCTGATTTGAAATTGTCTTTTCAATTTAAAATATTAAGTGGCTAAACAATTAGCTATCAAGGCCTAGTTCTTCTTTCTCTTTGTACATAATGATTCTTTTCCTGCCCAGAGCAACATTTCAGTTCTAGGAAGCAAAACTGGGCATTTGGCCACCGGCCACTGGTTAGCCTTTTGCATATCTCCCAAAGTAGCTCTTCTGTTTGGTTCACTTTTGAGAACTCTCTGAATAGCATAAGAATCTTTCTTCTGATTTTGACCAAACGGGAGATGTATACGGGATTCCTACATTAATAAATAAATAGTACAATTTTTACACAGATTACTTTAAATAATATCATAAATTAATATTAATAAAGACGAGAGGAAAGTAGAAGTAATCCACTTAGAAAAAAATAATTATTTCAGTTTTGGTTCTACCTGCTGCACAGCTGGAAGGTTGTTTCAGGTCTTCCTTCTAATTCTGACTTTGTATGAATCAGTTCCCAAATACTGCTGTTTTCTGTTCCTGTTGGTAGAAAGAAACTTGATTACAAATATTTCACAATACCTACAAATCTCTAGCCAAACAATTTCACTATGAGAATTTAATGAGGGCTTCAAGTTCATCCAAGAGATAGCATCAGTGGCTTTTTCTTGCAACAAGCCTGTTGCTGCAATTAATGTTTTATTTTAGAAATCTTTCTCTGCACCGCTGTTTTCCAAAATTCAAAGAGTAAATAAAACTGGTATATGGCTTTTCTACTAAATATAAGAAATGCAGATGTTTTGAAGCTCTAATGCAAGGAATATCTTTACAGAACTTTTGTTCTCTCATTCATGAATCAAATTTTATTATACAAGTGAAAGTTACTGTACAGGTGATCATCCCTTAATGACAGTAATTGGAAACGGAATTTCCATTGCTAAATGATGCAGTCGTAAAGTATGATATCACATGACCACAATGTTTAGTGACAGCAATCCCGGCAGTCCCTGTTGCCATCATTAAGCGAGGACCTCATGATTGTGATTTGCGACGTCCTGCTGGCTTCCAACAAGCAAAGTCAGTGATGAAGCCAGCAGGAAGGCGCGAATCCACAAGCAGGCTGGTAGGCAGGTGAGTGCTACAGAGTGCGACTAGGCGGGTGGGTGGCTCCCACGGCACCAGCATAACCAGGTGGGGGTGCAACGTAGTGCAGAGGGCATGCAGGTGGCTGCTGTGGCATGAGCGTGGCCAGGCAGGGGGTGCTGTAGAGTGTGGGAGGGTGCACAGGTGGCTGCTGTGGTGGGAGTGCAGCCAGTCATTGGGGTGCTGCGGAGTGCAGGAGGGCATGTAGGTGGCTACTGGGGCATAGCACGAGCTTGGCCAGGCAGGGGGTGGGTGCTGCAGCCCAGCGCGAGCTTGGGCAGGTGTGCTCTATGGAGTATGGGTGGGGGGTGATGTGGGATCCTCAGGAGAAAAAGTAAACCCATTGACTTTGCTTGTGGGAAGCTAGCAGGGAAGGTTGCAAATGATGATCACATGACTGCAGGATGCTGCAGCCATTGTAAGTGCGAGCCGGTTGCCAAGTACCCGGATTGCAATCACATGACTGCAAGGTGCTGGGATGGCCAGAACTTTGAGGACCGATCGTAACATCAAACAGTCGCTGAATGAGTGGTTGTTAACTGAGGACTACCTGTATCTTAAATTTAGAAGCATTAAACATTTGAGCCTACATGCAGTGAACCCAATTTCTTTAAAGCACTGGATTTTGTGGCATTTATGATTCATTACTTCTGTGACTAATTCTGTATTGTCTAATTTATAATTTAGCTGGTCAAAGAAAGGCAGGAATGAAAAATATTTTATACATGCGTTAGCATTTCAATAGCTATAATTATTTGATATTAGAAATAATTTCTAATTCAAAGCATTGTTTGATACTGTTTTAGGAAGATCTTTTCACCAACCATTGTTTTGTCTACCTGTACTGGAGATTCACACAAATCCATTTAGTTATCAATCAGAAGAAACAAGGAAGGTTGTTATTTAGGAGAAAGAAAACTTTCCAGTAAAGGAAAGCAGTCCTTTCCTATCCTTGCCACCTTTTTGGAACTCTGATCCAGATTCTTTTTTGTTGACAGGCACATTCCTTGAGCAGAATTCTGCTCACAAGACTCATGTGGGCAAAAATTAGGAAGCAATGGATCTTAGCCAATCGCTTCCTTTCTCCCTCTGCAGCCTCCACTGCTGCCTTCTTAGGTGTTTCCAAAAATCACCAACCCTTGCCACTGCAGAAGCGTGGGAAATTAGCAGGAAGAGAGGGAATCAGCAAAGGTTGCCCCTTCTGTCCAATTTGCCAGAAACACTCCATCACTGGATCAGAAGCATCTTTCAGAGGAAAAAGCTTTTATATCAGTGGAGGAAGATCCCACCGAATAGGCTTACTGCCTAATGTACAAAAGTGTTAAAATTGCTTTAAGCTACAGTGAATTCTTTCAGATTTGGCATTTAATACTATATTCCAATGTTGTGGTGAATGGCCTGCTTAATTATATACAATGAACTTTTCATCCGTGCAATATTTATTTATGAAGGATGCAATGAAAACATTGACAAAATGAATATATTCATGGTTGACAAACTTTCAAAACAAACAGAACAGAGATTGTTTAAGAATGTATAGATTTGGTAAAATCAAGTCACCTGCTGTATTACCCAGTCGAACCTGAAGAGCAGATAAAGGAATCAGCCAACGAAATTTAAACAAATCCAAATCATTGTGATTATTACGGACATTACCTGCCTTTTTTAAAAAAAGAAAAGACAATTAAAATTGCTATCCTAAAAACTGCTTGTTTTTGTTCAGTCTAAGAATTTTGCCTGCCACTGCTACTTTTTAAAAATGATCAAAACTAAACATTTTAAAACATTAAACAATTTTACACTATACAGAAAATTTCAAAATCCCAGCTTTCTTCTGCTGCTTTTCTATAATGCATGGTTTCACTTATCCTTGAATGTGAACTCCCCATAATATAGGATGGGAGCTTGCCTGATTTATGCTATCCAATTACTAAGAGCACAGTTTACGTGTGTTCATGCAAATTGTTTCATATTCAGCTGGGATAATCAGTTTAAATCTGGAAAATGTCTCGGGTTTCTAAAGATACACACGTGATTCCTTTATTTTTAGCAAATTATTTCTTTTGATTATTGATGTCTAGAGTACTTAAATCCCCCAAATGCATGCTCTTTATGTTCAGTAACTGTACATTCCAATTGTATACTTATATACCAGTACTAATTATGTACTAGTGATCTAAATACTTACCAGTTTCTTTTTCAGTTTGCAGCTCTCTTTATATACTAGGATGACTGCCCTTTTAAAAACTGAGAAAGAGAAGATAACAGCCTTTATTGATTCTGCCTCCTAATGTATATCATCATACTTTTTCAGTATGTGCTAAATTGCTTTTTAAAATTCAACAGCAATTGGACGCTCTGCATCGCAAATGCCACTTTGACCAGTAGTCCACTGTTTGTGCAAGGGCTTGGGCCATATTCCTGAACCTGCAATAGTTACATTCTTCTTACTGAGAGTCTTATCACATACTCTCAAGCTGCATGTCAAAGCTGGATACAAACTATGAATGGAATTGTGCAAAATGCAGCACAGATTAAGATAAAACATTAAAATCAGTTGTAACACTAAGAAATATGTATGTATGAGAAACATGGGGGTTTTTTTCTGTGATAGTAAAAACAAAGTGAGATAAAATACAAACATCCTTGTTTAAATACACATCAATAATTTTGCCATATGTATAACAACTATCTGCTCTATAACAGTATATAAGTGTTGTTTATATTATACTGACATAGCTTACAAACAAGAGAGTCAGGCAGTATAGAAATTAACATGCTTCTCGTGGATCATAAAATTCAGTTGCGCAAGACCAACTGAGGCTTAAAGGCTGCTTAGAAAAGCTACATGATGGTCGTTCTAATGTTTGGAATCTGCTTTCCACATGAACTTGCTAAAAGCATCCATGCTGGCACTTTGCGAATGTTATAGTTTATGAGTAGTCATTATAAAGCAGCATGGCAAAGTACTGCTAAATAGTGACAGGAGAAGAAATGCACAGATCATCAGGTAATGAAAAGGACTGTTTCACTCAGCAGAAATGTCAGTTGATTTTCACTCTTACTCCTGTTTCTTCTTCTTCTTTTTTTGGAATCACTATTCGATTTTTAAGATAAAGATAGAAAGATGAAGATAAAGATAGAAGATAAATATAAGAAAGATTTTTAAGGTAAGATAATGATAAAGAGAGTTTTAGACTTAAGTTTTAGATAGACTTTATCTTACATCTATTTTAGACTTATAGAAAGATTTTTAAGATTAAGATAGAAAGTAGGGAAGAGAAAAAGGTAAAGAATGAAAAAAAAAGTCAAAAGTGCAGAAAGAAAAATACAAAAGAGAAATTACTTCTGACTTTATTTTACAAATTTCTTTTCCTCTTGTTTCTTTTTCACTCTTAATGGTATGAAGTATTAGTCTGTAGTGGCCTAAGGAAATATTGGGAAATATCATTCTAAAAGGGTCTGGGTGTCCTGAAACAGCCACAGAAGGACTAAACTAAAGTGGAAAGCCAGTTTGGTGTGATTGTTCAGGTGCTGGATTAGAAAGAGGGAGACCATGAGTTCTGGTCCTCCCTTAGCCATGAAAGCCAGCTGGGTGACTTTGGGCCAGTAACTCTCTCTCAGCCCAACCCACCTTCAAGGTGAGAAGAGGGTTTCTCATCTTCAAAGTTTAAGGGCACCAAGCCTACCTCCCAAGTGCTAACTGACCATGGTGATTAAATCATGCCCACTGCTGCCTTTCTGGCCAGTGGGAAAAAGTTAATGATATTATGAATCCTTATGGGTACTTTCTTAAAACAAGGTCTCATGGGATACTAGACCAGGCACTGGACCAGGGCTAAGCATTCTCCAAATGATGATGCTTTAATTCTCTGGTGTGATCATGTGCTGCCAGAATCACCAGCACAAATCTCAGTAGGTTAGTGACTGGCTGTGCTAAGCCTAAAGTGGGCATAGATCCTAGGACAATTTCAGTTTCTGATTTTTATGTTTTTTTGTTTCATTTTAAATAAAATTGGTATTGATCACTCACCAAACACTGTGAGCTCCAGCTCTTTTCTTGTTTTGCCTAACAACATGAATGGATTCAGCCATGAAACTGTAGAGTGCAAAAGAAGTTCTCCCATGGAAAGTTCCGTGACCTATATCCACAATAAAAAAGAAGGAAGACTGAAGACAATTCCCTCAATAGAAGGCAATCAACATTATACTAAAAGTTCACTTCAAAATACCCATTAAAAAGAGGTGAAGAGAACTTCACAGTTCCAATGGTTTCAAAAAATGTCAGCAGTTAATGTGAAAGACTTTATAGTGCAGGTATCTCAAGATAAATACATACTTACTTGTAAGGCAGCAAACTTTGAAGAGGCATTCTTTTTAACATGTCTTAGACTCCATGACTCCACTGAAATCCTATGGAGTTCAGTGAGATTTACTTCTAGTAATATATGTACTTCTATATGTATGGACAGGACTACAATTTAAAGAGAACTTGCCTTCAAAACAAGTGATGGGTGGCCTACACCTCATAAGCATTGTTTAAAAGCTAAAATATATTAATGGCACCTGTGTAATGTAGATTACATGATAAGACAAGGTAACAATGGACATTAATAAGGCAGTGATCAGCAACCGAAACTATTTAAGAAGTTGCTGGTTTCTTTTTCCTGTTGAGGGTTCTAAAGTAAAGGTAAAAATGTCCTCAAATCAAGCTTGACTCTGGATAACCACACACATTTCTTTACAAAAGAAATTGTTTTGAACTTCTCAAGCTAAACTGAGAAAAAGATTCTAATAGCTGTCTAAATCCATGTTCAGAAATCCAGAACTAAGGCCACTGTTGGACTGATTTGTCTGAATAAAACATTAAAATAAAATCCAAGCTTCCTTACCTCTTTCTCAGTTCCACTCTGGTCTGCAACTAGCTGGTCAAACACTGCACCATAATCCTCATAAATCTTTTGCATTTCATTGATGTGACTGGCCACCTTCTCCATTGCCTTCAGCGCTTCTGCAATTTTTAAGACAAGATTGTGATTTAACAGCTAAGAGTCACTTGCATCTAATTTACTTGCCTTAAGGTCTCAGACCAATGAGATACAGATGTTACATTATGTCTTGCCCTTGTGTATGGGGTTTTATATGATTCCACCCCCCTTCTTGGCAGGGAGGGAAATTTTTCTATTTTTTTCACAAAATCCTGTGTGGTATTTTTGATTACATTGACCACCAGGAAACACCACATTAACAGTTTTACCTTTATTGGGAATTGTCAGACATGGGTAGCCAGGTGTTATTCTATGGAGTTTAACCCTTCTACTAGGAAATGAACTCAGGGACCTTCACACTTGGATGATTATATACAGTGCATTAGCATTAGGAGATACCAGGTCCTGGCAGTCAGCAGTTTGCAAGAAGGGATATATATAAACGATCAGCTTCCTTTAAGGTCTCAGAGCACACAGGATATACACTGTGTAAAAAAAGAGAAATTCTACTCTCCCAACCACCCCCTTGCAAGGATGGTCGTGGTGGGAGTCACATAAAGCCCATGCATGGGGGCATGACATATTGTAACATCCGAATCTCTCTGCTCTGAGACCTTAAAGGAAGGTGGGCTATATATACTATCCTGACAGCTTCCATATATCCCTTCCTGCAAACTGCTGAGCACCACCACCCAGATAGCTTCTAAAGCTAATCCATTGTATATAATCATCCAAGTATGAAGGTCCATGAGTTCAATTCCTAGTAGAAGGTTTGAACCCCACAGAGTAACATCTGGCTACTCATGCCTGAGAAGTCCAATTAAGGATGAAACCAGTAATGTGGTGCCAAGGTGTCTAATTACTTAAAACCTAGGAATTTACCAGCAGAAACAAAATGCTGCTGACAATATCCAGAACAGAGAAATCTACCCCTGGTATTTCACAACTCATGGGGAAGTTCATTCATGATGGCTGGGTTCATGAATCATCATAAGCCATGGTTGGTTTCAATAAGAAGGGATAACATATAGTGAAAGGCTATAGTTCCCTAGACCACAATCTGCAGCTATCTCAAGATCAGTGGCAAATTATTTTGGATCTATTTATTTTCTTTTTATTTAAGATTATTGCATATTGTAATTTTAATTTATTTTAATTGTTCTGTAAACCACCCAGAGCCATTTCAACAAGATGGGCAGTGACAAATTTGATATGTAAATAAACATAAAATAAAAAATTATGGCAAATTGCAATTATGCAATTTTTGGCGGGGGGTAAAAAGGCTAATCTATGGTGGAAATGGATGTACTAAGCTTCTCTATGGACAAAGCTCACCCACTTCCACCCTTGAACAGGAACAAAATGGGCTGAAACTTTTAACTCATGTTCCCCTGTGATGTCTCTGAGAAAATTCACTCAAGAGTTTCCCTGATCAGAACATATATTTTTAAAATAATAGAACTGTGGCCTCTTGATAAAAGGATTGTCCTTTGGTTCTAACCATTGTTTGTTGAATAAGCCATAACTGATTATAGCATATGATGGCTAAATCATCAATCTATGGCTTAATGACTAGTTTCACCATAATGCCTGGTGAGAAGTTTCACAATCATAATGACTGATTTCACTCATTGGACTAAGCCAAAACCGAAAAATGTTTCTGCTTATTGTGCTGTGTGATCCACGTCAGTAGCTAGAATGTGATGTCACAATAAGTCGTTGCTAAGTTGCCTTGACTGGGAAAACCCTAGTCTCCCATTTGGTATGCAGCCTACCTCTCTCTGGAATGGATGTAAAGAGACTGACAGTGGCTTTTTTTAAAAAAACAACCATGACTGCACTTATGTACAGTTTACTAAAATAATTCCATTTATAAGCCATGGTCTGAATCCAGCTCATTTCAAACAAATCTTAATTAAGCACTTGGATGATGCAACAAGCTGCTGTCAGTGTAAAACAGAAGCAACCTGTAGGGGAGACCCAACGCACAAGACCCAAAGGAACCAAGTCTCTTAGTTTAATGCGAAGCTCAAATACAGTCACTGAGAAAACTGCATAATAAATTCTCCTTCGCACAACTCAGTGCTAAATCCATTTGACAGTTTTCAAATGCTAATTTAAAGGCAAGCCATTCTGGGGAGTACCTGTGAGGTGGTAATGCTCCTCGCTTTCTACGTCAGTCAGTGATACCAGTTCTTTCAGGAGCAAAGGGTATTTCAGCACCCTCTGAACAGGCTTGATAAGAAAGGACTCTAGGGTGGAAGAATGCTGTTTAGTGGGGTTGTGTGCATCCAGAAAAGCCTTGAAGGCGTTATCAGTTTTGGCTAAAGGGAAAAAAAAAATGGAACAAAGCAGTTGTAGTTGATATTATTAATAATATGAAACTATCTTGCAATAGTTAAAGCTTAATTGCTCTTCATTCAAAAATATTCAGGCAATATAACAAAATAATGCCAAGGATGTTAATATAATCCTAAAATTCAGTAAAACCAAACAATTCAAATTAATTGTTCTTAAAAGATGAACTATCCAGCTAAAATAACAAGACAAATAACATTAATTTAGCACCGAAAAATATTAAAGTTGTCATTGGTCAGAATAGCTTCTCGAAATGAACAGGATTAATCAAAAACTCCCTCATGTGTCATAGTTTAATGAATGATCTAATTATCACTGTAATATATTTTGATTATTTATATTGACAGCATCTCATTTCTGGCAGATTAAAGAACATTTAGTTCTGAGGTATCCAATATGGTATTTGCAGATACCACTGTGCACATTTTTTTTTATACTCTCCAAGTTCCTCACTCCATGTGACTTTTTATATTAAAAAAAAACACTTTAATCAAGAAAGGAGAAACATTAAAAATCAGTGCCAGAATCCAGTATCATTTCCAGGAATGTTCCTGAGCTCTCCAAAGGCCGACAAGAATTCCAAGAAACTAAAAATCATAGCTGGCTCCATCCCAGGAGTTTGGACTCCCACCACCCAGAAACTAGAGAAAAATGAGGAGGGACAGTAGAGTGCGTTTTGCTGGACTGGAGCTGGGGGTGGTGGGAATTAGGAAACAGTGGTCAATCAGTGCATGTTCCCCAAGGTGAAAATGGTGGAATTTCAGCCCCAAAAGGTCGGAGATACCTGCTTTAGTTAACTAGTCATGGAGGATGGATTCCATACTATTGAAAACTAATGAAGTCATACTACCTCAGCAAAGCCAATCCATAAAGACCTCCAATGATGCCTGTCAGGCTATTTCATATAACTTTTTTTTTTCAAAAAAATAAATTGCTAAATAAAAAGTGAACTGGCATGCTATGAAGTTCTAGCCCCAACCATTTCTATTCTTCCAAAGATCTTAGTGACTTAATTAGAGGATATCATTAATGCAACCTAGGCTGTTGATCTGATTTGATAAAGAAAAGCCTGAAATAATACAGAATAAAAGTTAATAAGTAATGGTGGAAGTGTCCTCCACATTTTGTCTTCAGGAAAAACGGGTGTTTCCTGAATAGTTTCCCCCCACGGCCACTATCCTGTGAGATCACATGCTTTCACAACTCCACATATGTCCATCAACCCACACAATATTTACAGTACTGTGTATCTTTGTTATTCTACTTATGTTAATATTTGCATTAGACAGTAGAAAATACACACTCATAACAATACTACCTCATTGTTACACTAGGATTATTGGGAACTGTTGTATTTATATTGTTAATCCAACACCATAAATGCAAATTACTACTTTATTATTATGTGCAGTACATTTATTGCTCCCTTTCCATTCTAAAACTCAAGACAGTCTCTGCATTGTCCCCTTCTAGGCACTGACCAGATCGAGATCTGCTTAGCTTCGACAACGATGCTGTGTAGCACATGCTTTTACAGCATTGTTGGCCATGATGGATTTTCATTGGACATACCAAATGCCAAGCAGCAATTTAAAGTGTTAAAATTACTTGTTATTTCACTAAATATACAGGAGCAGACCAGAAAATTTAGTTTGTAATTTTCCATTTCAATCTGTAATTATCCTTCTGCAGAACAGCCTGCTATCTTCCACCACAACTGTTCTCCAGAAGAAATGTTGGTTTAAAGAGAAAGCTGGGGTTGCTGTGGATATGGCTCTATTAGCTGTTTCAGCAGGATGATGTAACATGGATATATACAGGTATTATGTATACACACACATGCGTATACATGCCTACCTTTCTAATAAAAATACATTACACAAGGCCAGTTACATTAATTAAAAACATAATTATCAGTCATATATAAAAGTTATACATTATCGTTTACAAATACAAATACAAAAATGTCAGCAATTGGTTCCAGAACATGTCACTCATCAATGAAGAACTTCTCTAATCACATAGAATATTCTCTCCCATTCTTGCAGGGGGAACACATTACGGAAACTACTTACATGCATGTTTATTCACAACGGGTTTGGCAAAGTAATTTTTTCCTCAAGGTTCCATTTAACACATATTTAAGTTTTCTCTTTTTTTTTTTAAAGCCTGTTTCTATGACAGCAGCGGATCTGCTCTATTTCAAAATAAATAAATAAACGTACCCAAAAGGCCCCCACCAAGAGCACTCCCATAAGAAGACAGACAAAGATAGGCAGTCCTAAGTAGAAGTGCTTTGCTTAGAAGTGTCAAAAATAGATGCACTTTTCAAACCCTTTAGCATCATGAGACCAATTGCAAAATTTAAGAAAAGTCCTTTTTTAATACGGTCATCTTGAAAAACAATTGTTTTATTTTGCTTCGTTTTTATCATATGCTTAGTTTACCTTATGGAGACAATTACCTCTTTCAAGAACTTTCTGGACTTTGATGTGGTTTGCACAGAACCCACTATATAATTTGAAGTGATCAGCATAATAGAGGAAAGAGCCTCCCAAAGAGAAGAGCAGTTTCTGAAACGAAGGTGAGACATTTATTTTAGGGATGCATATTTTGCTGTTAAGGAAAGACTAATAGTATTCTTCAAAGAGTCATTCATTCATGTAGTCATTCATTCATTTCACAATACTAAATTCTCAATGTGCAGAATAATCATGACAAACAATCCAAGAAACCATTCAGAACCAAGGGAGAGTACAATAAGAAAAAACTAAAGGCCCATTATGATTCTGTGTAGTTTTCCTCTATTTTATACTTTACTTCCAGCTTTGCCCTGCTTTGCATTCCTGAAGTTTTTCTTAAAGATTTTTGTAATCATGATTGACTGTAACTTGAGTTATTATATAATTGCACGTATTAGCTGTTGCCTATTTATGAATATGAATATATCTTGCCTTTCTAGTGGTTTCAAACTGGTGATACGTAACAAACACAAATCAACAGAACAAATTAGATAATGAATATAAGATTTGCATGAACTAAAGCAAACAAATGTGATGGAAAGAGATTCACTGGGAGCATGAATCATTTCAATTATGCCTCTTCTGTGATGAGAATTTCTTTTCTTGAATGCAATTTTTGTTTGCTACAGGTGTTTAATTCATTTCTAAAATTGGATTAAGAAGAAGCTATGAAAGCATATGGCACAACTTGTCATACTCAGGAAAAAAAACTGATGTGAAACTGAATGCATTAAATAATTGATAGAGAATATTCTGAATAGTTATTTTACTATTCTAGAGTCTCTTACAATTCATGCTTTTGAAAATTAATTATACAACCCTTGTGATGCATGCAACAGTGAGAGAGAACAATAGGAATAACAGAAAATTAACTTTATCCCGCAGGAAAGTTTAGTAAGAGGCAACAAATTTAAAATAGTTTATCAGTCAAGGTTCAGATATCTAATAAATAGTAGACACCACAGTGCTAGCAGAACAAAGTAAAATAACTTAGTAAAATTAAAATTGTTAGGATCTATCCAGAAGACCCTAACAGTTTAGGTTTGACGTGCAGTGTGCATATGCACTCTCATTCAGGGATCTGAAAGTAATTAGGGACCTCCATAATAAACTATAGGTAGTCCTGGTTTAGTGATCAGAATTGGGACTGGCAACCTGGTTGTTAAGTGAAGCAGTCACTAAGTGAAACTGCAACTGTGCTTATGACCTTACTTCCGCTTTCCTTTGCTTTACAGACCTGTAAAGGTTGTAGTCGTAGTTACTTTTTCATCACCTTCGTAACGGCAAATGTTTGCTAAACGAGGCAGTCATTAAACGAGGACTACCTGTACAGGTAACTTTCAAGAATGATATGATGGGCTAATTGATATAATTTTCCTACAGGCTAGATTCTTTTATATCTTAGTTCTGCAGAGAGATGGAATAATAACCAAAAACGCTATGAGCTACATCATGACCTATGATCCTTTCCAAAAACTGTGAAAAGAGACAATGGGAGAATTAGAGAAGGGATTCTAAGGTTAACTGTGATAATTTGAAAGTTTGTGCATGAGGAAATAGTTTTCAAATACTGCAAGCAACTTAAGTCTTTAATCAATTGATTGATTATGCGATAGCAAGTTGTTTTCAACTCCTAGAGACCACATAGATTTTTCTCCATACACCAGAATAAATCAGGAAACTAACTACATTGTAAGAGATAAGTTTCCATATGCCCAATCAACATTCTAGTCACTCTATTTTGAGCCAATTCTTCAAATACTGTAAAAACATTTTGCAGTAGTTCAAAACATATACAGTATGCTTATTGAACTGCATCTGTCCAAGAAGGTCTGTCATTGGGAGAGCAGCCAAAGTTGGTAGAAAGTTCTACAGGTCAGCAAAGGCACTTGAGCTACCAATGAACTCAATAAGTCAGAATATAAGCAAAAATGAACAACAGCTGGGGGTTTTTTTGCACCGCAGACTTTAAGCTTCCTTGATTCTCCTTCACCACTTTTCTATTTTCCCAGAAAAGATGTAGGGAAGCTTCTGTGAAATGTGAGGGGCTTTTAGGGACAAAAGTCTCTAAAATATTAGAGACAAACACAGGGATTTGCTTATTTGATATAAACTCCCTCTCACTCACATTGCTAGAGTAATTCTACAAACTAATTAACTGAGCACTTGCTTCTGAGATTCTCAAACTGTTTACCTGACCTCAGCATGGCCCTGGAAAAGGTATCTTAAAATTTCTTCTGTTTGGGAAAAAAATCTTCCTATATATAGTAAGTGGGCTTTAGTTTTTATGCATAAAAAATTCTAACTAGAGAAAACAGAGGAAAAATAAAGGGAATTAGAGGGAATAATTGCTATCATCATATTCCAAAATGTAATATTTTGTATTTACCCGAAACTGAGAAGGGGTTTCAAGTGTGTTAAAATCACAGCAGGAGGAAATTCCATCTTCAAGCGTCTCTAAAAATACCTTCTGAAAATCCAGCATCTCTGGCAAGCTGCCAAATAAAGACTCCATCTATATGGAAGTGGGGAAAAAAATAAACATAGATAAGTTTTTACTGCTTTGCAGTAAGGCTGCCTAAGAAAAGAAGACCTACTGTTTAATTGTGTTACTCGAGATAAACAAAGTGATACATCATATTAATAAATGCAGAGGAACAAGAGGATTTCTGAAACAAAAGACTTCTTAGAAACATTTCTGTTAGGGAGGAGGATCAACTTTTATCATCAAGACATAACTAATGCAGCAAACAGAAGAAAGGAGGTGCTTTTAAAATGTCTGATACAGTTGAAATGCTCATACCCTGGATAAGATTAAAAGCAGTTAAAACAACCATTGAAATCTCTCACCTCGTCTTGAGTAAGGAAAGTCTCGCTCTGAAGAGGTTCCAAATATAATTGAAAGAGGCAGTTCAGATCCTAGGAGGACAGAAAATATGATATACTATCACTGAAAGTATTTTTTTAAAAAAACCTCTTCTTAACATGCATGTGAGGGTAAGAGGTAATTGTGATAAGAAAATGCTTTTTATTTACATTTCACCGTAACACTTCTAGAACAAAAAAAAAGATTTATTTATTCCTTAATTATTATATGCCACTCTAATTGTCAAAACAATGAGCATACTATAAAAAAAAGTCTTACTATAATATACTTTAGTCCTCTAAAAGTATGCAATCGTCTGTGTGTGTATGTGTGATATTAAACAGCACTCCCAGAGGGGAGATCTCTTAGAAATAATTAGCAAAAGGGGCCAAAGCCAAGAATATGGCTGGACCAGGTCTGGTGATTTGTTCTCTATGTTCATTATGCTACACCATCTCTCCTCAATCCCTCCCTCAAATCTTGTTTGTAGTTTAATTCAGGCTTCCCCAATTTGGTGCCCTCCAGATATGTAGGACTATAACTCCCATCATCCCTAAGCAATACTTTGAGGAAGGACTGTATAACATTATGGAAATGCATCTAAGTAACCTAATCTTATCTCAAAACGCTGGTGATATACAGAACCTGATCACAAAAATAATGAAGGAAGAATGAGAGAGACAAATGAACAATAAAGCATGCCTAATACCTTTACATAAGATTCCTCTGTGTCCACAAGTTCTTGGATGACTTTCCGGAGTCTGTCTGCATCTGTAAGTTGTCTTGCCAATGGCTTTAGAGGGGGAACATCTTTTAATCCTTCCATCCCACTCACCTGAGCTTCATGGAAATGTGGACACAATGCTGCAATTTCCGTAGTGCTCTGCAGGTTGAAAAGAGCAGAGACAAAGTTTATTATATTTTTCTTACAATTACACATTGACTCCTCTATGATGATTCAGTCATGGACAGTACAGTCCAATTGTTTTTTATTTGCAGATAGTGACGATTGCAGCTGAAAGCTATAATATCCAGTAGATATATTCTAATTTGTTAGCTAAATTCTTCATTCCAAAGAAATATATACATATATGTACACACACACACACACACACACACACACACACAGCGGCTAAAGCTGGCAACTTCCGGCTTTTAGTGACTCAGTAATTTATTTTAAGAATACTTATAAGAAAAGTGATTTCTGAAAGACTGTAGAATTAGGGTTCTATCCTCTCTTGGCTCTTGATTTTA